GCAGCATGCGGCGACGCAGGCTCCTCTTGCCGTGTGCCTCTGTCGAGGCGATGCTGAGCGGCAGCGAAGGGGGGACGCCGTGCTGCCAAGGGCAGCGTGCGCTCATGGGGATGATTTAAGGGCTGCAAATGGAGCACAGCCCCTGCTCCGAGCTGGTTGTGGAGCAAAGGCGTGGTGTTGGTTTGCAGCCCCAGGGAGGCGAGGGTGTTTGCGCGGCAGAACCGCAGTGGCCAGCTATTGCTGTAGGGCGTGTGGCACCTTCACTCGCTCAGATCTTCCTGATGTGTCTTACCACGTATTTCGAGCAGTTTCCAGAGCAGGGGACACTTGGTAGCATTGTTCAGTCCAGCTAGTGAGACCAGGCATGTTTTCTGTTCAAATCCTGTCTGAACAGCTGTGTGTTTTTGCAGTGCATTTGGCCAAACGTTGATGAGGTGTGAAAGCGGTGACAGCAGATGTGGGGGAGGAAAGCTGGATGAGAACTGAGGCAAACCTAATTGCTTTATCTAGCAAACCTGGAGCAGGTCAATAAAAACGTGAGGGGAACTGAGCTTGCTTTCTTTACAACAGGTAGGCTGGGTGAGGAGTTGTGCAACCTCTTAAGAATTGCAGAGGTATAAAAATCAGGTAAGGACAGGTTTAAAAACCCAGCATGAGCAATCCCTCATGCACATGTCTTCGTGGGACACCAGTGCATTCCTTTAGGTGGTGGTGGGTTTCAGTCTCTTCCTTCTCACCAGCAGTTAGCAAAGCGAAGCCAGGAGCAGCGTGACTGCACTGGAGGGTTGAATTAGTGATACGTTCTCTACAGCCTGCTGGAAAACTCTGAGGGGAGGGTGTATCATGTGGGGGTGTGACCCAGCCCTGTCCCCCTCCGGATAGGAAGGAAGGAAAATGCAGTCTGATAAGATTTTTTTTTTTTCTCTCACTGTCAGCAAATTTTTTCCTTCTGGATTGTTTATTGGTAGCCAAGGTTATATTAATGCACTGGAAATATGAAACTTCTCAAACAGGAAGAGAACAGATGAAATATCTTGCAGATGCTTTTCTCGGAAAATAGCAGATGCATGAGAGCAGTAGAGGCTTAAGGGTTTTTCTGGTCTGTCCCTGTCACTGAGGCTGAGTGAGCGGACTGTAATTTTGTCATTTTGATACAGCACTGAGCTTTATGGCAATAAAGGTTACAGAATCATGAAATAATTCAGACTGGAAAGGAATTCTGGAGGACATGTGGTCCAGCCTCCTTTCAGAGCAAGGCCAACTTTAAAGACGGATCAGACTGAGCAGAGCTTTGTCTGATGCAGTTTTCAGTATCTCTGAGGATGGGGTTTCTACCACCTCTTCAGAATTCTGTTGCAGGGATTGTCCTGGTTGAGGAAATCCCCTAAATAAAAGACATGTGAATATGAAGAGACAACAAGGGCTAGTGGTTCACCAGTGATGTTTGGCAGAGAGAAGGGGATGGTGCAGTGGGTGTATGTTGTTTTGCAGTCCTAAATATTCTTAAAAATTCCAATTGGGATGAAACCTGATAAATATTGAGTTGAAAATGGTAGAGATCTGTGGTGCCTAGGAGAGGAGTCCTGCTTCTCCTTTAGTGAATTGATAGGCACTTTCTTGCTAGCTCTTTTCTTCTTTCATGTCCCATGAATGTTATTCCCCAGTATGCCTCTTTATCTTGCACTGTTTCCATGTTTTGCTCTTGCTTTCTGTTTTGTCTGGTTGTGCAAGTTAATGCAAGTAGCGCTACTGCTTTTGAAGATCGCAGACTGTTGGTTCTTACTGTTGTGTTGCAGTCCCAGAAACATCTTTTGTAAACAGGTGGGTGTTTTTAAACTCAGAATAACAGTGGAGTATGAACTGTGAGATGGGATCAGTGTGGCTTTCGTACTGTCAGCGATATGTGGAAAAAGGTGATAGCTGATATAGCTCACCTGGATTTCGAGAAGGCGTGCAATAGGGTCTTTGAAATAAAGAAGTTCCTTTCTTACCCTCTCTCCCACCCCCAAATCTGTGCAACTAAGGATGTAAGCAAATGGTGGTTGTGTGAAAGAAGTGGCTGGTCGGAAGGTTGGAAAGAAGTGAGATAGTAGTGAGTGGCTCATTTTCGTGGTCCAGGGAGCGTAGCCCTGCATTGGGCCTCTGATGTCCAGTGTTTTATTTCTAAATGATCTTGTTGAATGGCAAACACTGAAGAGATGTTCTGAATTGCTGAGAATAGCAAACTTTGGTATCTGGAACCATTTGAGGTTTCCCAGGGAGCCCAAGACATCCTCATTCTGGGGCTGGCAGATATGGCACAGAACTTCTAGGAACCCGTGCCTTTGGATGCCAGCTGGGATATGCCCTTGGACCTAAAATGGCACAAGACACCTGAGTTTAGGGAACTGAACACTATTGGAAATGACTGCAGGCTGAAATAGTTGTTGCAGTTCAGTGTGTAGTGATGAAGATGGAGAACAGTAGTCTGGGATTTACATATGTGTTTGTGGGTTTGGAGGAAGTAGATCTTGAGCGTGTGGTGGTTATGGATAGCAGTGACCAAAAGGCAAATAAGATGCTAAGATTTAGGAAGGCAATGAAGGACAGAACACAGTCAGTGCAAAAATCCTTCGTGTGCCCACATCTTGAAAACTACCTCTGGTCCTTCCAGCTCTAAAAGGATGTTTGAGAAACGCGAGAGGTAGAGTGAAGGGTAGTGAAGGTGATCAGAAAGGTGGATGTGTTTCTGTCTAAGGCATGACTGAATAGGCTAGGACTGTTGTGCAAGAGGTGACTGAGCTAGCTCTGATGAAGAACTGTAAAGCTGGGGGTGTGTGGAAAACATTGTCTTCTACAGGACAAGAATTAGGGGATAATACACAGAACAAGTGAGAGGTTTCAAGTGAAAAGGGCTTGGTTCTTTGTGCAGCTAGAGAGAGTCCTAGCTACGGGACACTGGATGCCCTGAGTTTACATAGGTGCAAGAAAAAATAACTTTAGTCTGTGATGGAGATTTGTTGTGTGAATATCATCTGATACACCTGAGCTAATGGTTGCTGGTTGCTGGAACAGTAGCACTAATAGTCCACTGTCAGCAGTGCCAGTTAGAGGCATAAGGAAGCATCTGGGAAACAAATTGGTGGTTTGAGTGTGATCAGCAGTGCGGGCTTCCTGTGGGGAAGGTTACATGGGTCTCTGAAAGCTATTGATACTTCCCTTGATAAGCATCTCTGATTTTGTGAGATCCCGAGAGAGCAGATCTTGAGCATGATCAAAGAGGTTTGATTCTGTAATTGGAACTTCTAGCCAAGGAGGAAGGAGAAGTGGTGGTGGTTGAAGTCCCAAGGCATTTCTGTAGCCAGTTAAAGGCCTGAATGCTGCAGAATGCTTCTCTGCATGGCAGGTAGGATGCTGAGTGAGTTACTGCACTGTGATGGGTGAGGATTTGTATGCCAAGAACTTTGTGTGACTGCTTGCCATGAAATACGTTGTGTCTTTGGAGACCTGAGCTTCCAGGGTCAATGTAGTTGTGTCTTTAGATATCGCTGTCCTTACGCAGTTACTGCTAAACCCAGGATGCAGGGTGAGAGTAGGCGAGCGATCTGATAAATGTGACTGTGATTGCAAACTTCTTGAGTGGCTCCAGGTGGCTGGAGACTTTCTGTGACTAGCGTGGATCATCTGGCTTTGCTTTGACCTTCTGTATTTGAAACCAGTGCTACAGTGTTGGTCTCTACTGCGGTGTCATCCTCTGCCCTCTGATCTGAGCTGGAGACTGTGGAACACATGCACTGTGGTCTCTCCTGTGGTCAGCTGCGCTGCCCAGGCTGACGTGCCAGCTTCTCTTGGGTGTTGTGGCGCTCATCAACACTGCTTCCAGACACTAGTGACCTAGAATGTCCCGGGCACCACTACGCTCCCCTGAGACTAGTTTCTTGCTGCAGCAGGCTGCTTTGGAGAGTCGCAGTGTGCCTGGCATGCTCTGCCACACTTGCCTGCTGTGCGTGTGCCCTTCTGGGGCTTGGTGGGATTGAACCCTATTCTCTGATGTGGCTGTATCGTTCTGCCTGCTCTGACCGTGATTTCATTCTGTTTGTCTGCCTCTTTAGTGATGGTCCCATCTGTCGAATCTGTCACGAAGGTGGAAATGGGGAGGGACTGCTTTCCCCATGTGACTGCACAGGAACACTGGGCACCGTGCACAAGAGCTGCCTGGAAAAATGGTTATCCTCCTCCAACACAAGTTACTGTGAGCTGTGCCACACAGAATTTGTTGTAGAGAGAAGACCGAGACCTTTGACAGAGGTACTGCTTTCTTCCTGCTTCACTTTTGTTTCCTTATAATTTGAGAGAAAAGGACTGATTTGCCCTAATGTCCTGTGGTTCTTGCTTGTCTCCTCCTCGCAGTACCTTAGTGCTCACAAAGAACAGTTTGTTTAGAGAGATCAAGTCTCTTATCAGACCAAGTGACGTAGTTGCAGAAATGCAGGAGTGATGTTTGAGGCAACTCTTACCTGTGAACCACCCACATGCTGCCTACCAATGGCAAGCTGTGGGGACTACAGAAAATGTTGTACTCGTAGGTACCCTTTAATGCTGGAGCATCAAAACACAGAGGTCACCACATGACTGACTGAAGTATGAAGTGCTCAGAAATCCTCTTTCCCCGCCCCCCCCCGTTTTAATCTTATCTTACAGTGTTACATTAGTGCAGCTCTCTTGCATGTGACTTCCTTGTCATGTTCTGCTCTGAAAAGTGAGATGTGGCAATTGGTGATACTGTTCCTAAAAGACCAATCTGCTCTTGACTAACACTGATGTGTGCTTCAAAGCCTTTGGGCCTTCCTGCTAAGTTGTGGTGCCCTGCTGCCGCCCTGTGTTTTCCCCAGCTGAAGGAGAAGCAAGGCAAGGCTCAGCCAGTCCTTATATTCCTTTTTGCACTGACCATAGGGGGACCAGGTTCTTGATGGGTGCATCAGCCTCACAGGGTTGGAAGGTACAGTCCAAACTCTGGTTGGTGGGTTGGTTTTTTCTGGTATTTTTATCACAAGGCTCTCTTCATTCCCCTGTTTAGGCAGTCTTTCAGTCCTTTGGCCCCCGAAGTTTAAAGCAGCTGCCTGTAATGAAGCCCTTTGTATGTGGGGAACAAGGGCAGCTTGGACCATCTTCTGACCTCAGAATTCAAGTGTACATCCACAAAAAGGAATAAGTAAATCAGTGAGTTACAGTACAAAGGGCTGTAATGGTTTGTTTTAGAAGGTTGTTTAATCTGTCTAAAGAGATGTTGGCAGGCGAGCAGGCGATGCTGATATGGCTGCTGTTTCTGACGGTACTGCAAGACCACGTAGGAGGGTGTTGCTGGCACACCTGAGGTCCGGCCTGGAAGATCAAAGCAAGGTCCTGAAGCCCTCGCTGGCCTCGCCCCATTCAGATCTCATTCACTGCCTGTGAAACTGCAGACAGGCTCTTTCCCAGTGTCAGCCTTCTGCTAGGCTGAGCTGGGGTGTTCATTCAACACAATCTGCAACTGCAGAGAAGCATCAGTCTGCAGATGGGGATTTACAGTTAACAGTTTGGGGAGTCTTCCAGTCCTACTGCCATCAGCAATGAGAGAAGTGGGAAAGCATCACCTGGACCTGCACCCATAAATAGTCTACTTCTCTGCATCCACACAGACCCTGCCGGGTTTTTCATCGCACGCCTCCCTGGCCGCATTTGGACTATGACACATAGCTCTGGGTTTTGTTTCAGAAGTTACTTTTCCTGTTTGTAGTGTTTCAAAACAGTTCAAAGCAGTGCTGCTGTTGCTACATTGTTCTTAGCCAGGCTGCACAAGGAGGTCTGTGAGCTGATTCTTAGCAACCGACCCCTGTTACCTGCCAGCTATTGGGGGTTTGTCAGTGCCTGCCACCAGAAGTGTACGTCTGGGGAGGCAGTGGTTAATCCTGGATTGTGTGACTGCTCTTGTCTGCTTTCTCCTTCCCCTTGCTCCATTAAAACCAAGTCACAATTGCAATCCTAAATTGTTTTTCCCATCTCTGTTTCCATTCCCATCAATACTAGACATTGCTTCCTTTCCCTTCCCACCTCACTCTAGAAATGTTCCCTGCCCCCTCCTCCTTCCTGCAGTCCCCAGCTCTCCTTCCCACATTCCCATTTTCTCTGGGTGCCCAGCAAACTTTGAAGGGGAAAGGAGCTCCCCAACTAGGGAAGCATTCAAGCTTCAGTTTGCCAAACTGATACTCACTTTTAATGATTGTTTAATTTACAACTGTCATTGACTTCACAGCCCCAGACAGGACAAGGCTTTAGACTACAGTGCTGAACCACACCATGTATTTAGCAAAGCAATTTGTAAAAGAGCATTACATCAGTGGTTAGTGCTGAGTTTTACCCCTTTCCTCCCAGCTGCTAAAACACATAACATGGCTCTTTGACCAAAACCTCTCAAATGGTTGTTTGAGGTTGAAAACTACTGCTTTAAAACATTTGGGAAGGGCTTGTCTTGGCTTTACACACTGCAGGCAAGCCCAGGAACAGTGAGCTTGCTAGAGCTTGTGGGCCAAAATTTTGAGTACAGGTTTCAGATGTTTTAGCTTGAGCGCTAGTAAAGTATTCATGCCCAGAAACAAACATGTGGAAGTGCATTTAGCCTTAGTTCACAGATGCTGGAGCACCTCATAACAAGTAAGGGCTTAGAAAACTACATACTTGAATAAAAGCTCAAAGACCAGCATATATTGGAAGAGTTTCTCCTCTGACACTGTTGTCTGTGCCTCCAGCAGGCAAGAGGACCTTGCAGGGACAGCGCAACAGGTATGTCATGGGTCCTCTGTGCTGCCTTCTTGTCTGAGCTCCAAGGTGGACTGGGGCCTGTAAGGGTATGGCGACCCACAAGCAGTTGGTGGTAATGGGTTGGAAGCATTTAATAAGCCACTGTGAGTGGAGAGGAATGCCACCTTGTTTTCAGAGAGGAATAGACCTCTCAAGCCATTGCTGATAGCTGTCAAAGGCTTTGGGATGTGAATTACTTATTACTTCTCATGTTTGAGGACTGACTGAGCACAGTGAAAGGGATGATCTGCCCTGTTCTGGTGTCTCCTGTGTCTTCTAGGGGAGCGGCTTGCATGAAGTGCCATTAGTGTCTTGTGAGTTTGGAGCCTGGTAAGCACTTGAAAAGTTGCCAGTTGAGCCATCCCTGCCTAGAGCAGATCTAACTTGCACTCATCATCCAGCCCTAGGGCAATCCCCTTGCCTGCAGTTCATTGGCAGCAAGCTTTTTCCCTAGCTTGAGGAGCAGCCTGCAGCCTGGCTTAATAAATCCTATGGTGGCAGCCTGCTCTTGCTCTTTCCCAGGGCCAGCAGCGCTTCCCCACCACGTGATGGCCTGCTGCAAGACCAGTAGGAGCTCACAGAGCAGCACATGTGCTGTGGCTGAAGCACACGGGGGTGCAGGGTCTCTGTACACGGTGGTTCAGCTCATCAGCATATGCCCTGCGTACCTGGCACATCAGTAGTGGAGGGCTCCTGCTAGTGCAACATGGCTCACCGGGCTGGAAAGACTGCCTGTTTTTATTGTACTACTTCCACCACGCTGTAATACTCTCCGATCTCTGCCCGGAGTCTGGGGAAAATGTCCTGGGGTTCAGTTTGTCATTTTCCTTGGGAGTTGTTACAACCGCTCTGAGCATCTGCACCAAAACTCTGCCCGTGGGAAGTGGTGACAAGTGGTATTTGCCATGTGATGTTTGTTTGCGCATTTTGTTCTCTTAGAGGCCAGCTTACAGGCCTTGGCTGCTCTCAGAAGCAGGCCTGCTGCTAGCAGAGGCTCTAGCCTTAGTGCAGAGCCCTTATGAAAGAGCTGGTAACTGCTTTGCCAGGTTGCTGGTACTTGCCAGTCATACTGCCTGTCTGCAGTCTGGTGTAATCTTATCCCCACACCAGATTGTGCCGAAAACTTTTCATCAAATACTTTTGGGAAGTGTCATCCCCAAGTTGCTCATCTGTTTCAGA